TTAATTCCAAGCGCTTAAAAATTAGCTTATCTTTCTCGGAAACGAGTAAAATGAAAAAAACCACGTTTTTTGACCTTCAATCAAACTTTTCTCAAAAATTTACGCGGTGACCCCCAATTTTCTGGTGCCAAATCTGTGGCAGGGTTATCTAGGAACATGTTGGTGGGTCACATACCTTTGGCAAAGTTAGTTTCATTTACTTAAAATGGGATTGAATGATTTTCATAAAAATTGTCCATAAGCGAACCATGTTAAATTCAAACGCGTTTTTCTCAAAAATTTATGGGGTGACCCACATTTTTCTGGTTATCAAAATGATCCTTATGGCCTAAACTATCAGTTTCTGTGGAGGATATTGCTGCCCTAAGGTGGTACCATCCTCTTTAAATCAGGGGGACCCTATCTGAACATTCATCAAATTTTTATTTCGGAATTGTATACGTTTTTGCAATTATATTAAGATCCCGTGAGCAGTGCTGCACCAAACGTTCCGCCATCAGCAAAAATCGTGGTGACCACTAAAAAGGAAAAAGCGAGTGTCGCCCTTTTGTGTCAAGCGCAAGGTCATCCTTTGCCAAATTTTCGGTAAATTACCCGTTCGTAAAACATTCAATCAACCTTCCAATTACAGAATTTTTAAAACTAGTTTTAATATTTCTTTAATCATTTTTTATGATATTCTATCCAGAACCAGTCGGTCATGTACGTCCGAACTTTCCGAAAACAGCTAAAATCAATAACGAAGTGGCCAGTGGCAATTTTTACAACTTGCTTTGCGAAGCACAAGGTTCTCCACCGCCACTTTTTAGGTAAATGCCCTATCCCAACATTGATGCTTAAAGCATGGAGAATTTTTTTAAGCATGTAATAAAAAATAAAAAATGCAACAATCTGTCAGATCCCATCGGAAGCGCTCCACCCAGACTTCCTCCAAAGTCAAAGCTGGATGCCGTCATCGGGCACTCCTTCAAACCAGTAGTTTTAGCATGCGATGCTCAAGCTTTTCCATTGCCAAGCTTTAGGTACTTTTTTTTTGTATATTGATAAAGTAAAAAAAAAAAAATTCTAACTGATTCAATCTTGTGTGCTCTCTGGCGTAGTAAAATTAATTTTTGGCTTTTTAATTTTCAATTTCATTTATAAATATTTTTTATTAATTTTTTAACAGAGCCCCAAGCCAGTGTAGCTCCAAAGGCGAAAGATAAGGACATATCTGGCCACAAAAAGTCCGTTCATTCAGGCAGCGACATTCCGCTTTTGTGCTCAGCCCAGGGGTTTCCGACTCCAATTTTCAGGTTCTCAATTAATTTTAATGTTTCCAATCAGAGCCGCAAACAAGTATGGCTCCGAAGGCGAAAGACACTGAATTCGAAACAATGAAAAAGAAAACTCGCTTGAGCGGAACCGTTCCTCTAGTGTGCCCAGTCCAGGGTTATCCTGCTCCCAGTTTCAGGTCACTTTTTATCCTTGCTAAAATCATTTCATTTCGAAAGTCAAACTAACTTTTATTTAAAATTCTTATAAATTGAACATTCAGAGCCGCAAACGCACATGCGTCCCAAAATAAAAGACAAAGAAATCGGTCAGGCGTGGAAGTTTGCAGAATCAGGTCGAACCGTACCCTTGCTGTGTGCCGTTCAGGGCTACCCTGCACCTTTATTCAGGTACCTCAGATCGTCCGTGATTGAAATTTACTTTGCATTTCAAAGAGCCACACACCAGCATCCCTCCTAAAATGAAAGACAAGGAGCTGGGTCAGGTGAAAAAAATAGTCGACTCAAACCGCACGCTGCCCTTGATTTGCGCAGTTCAGGGTTTCCCTGCCCCCACCTTCAGGTACAGACGAAAACTTAATTTTTTTCCAGAGCCTTCTACTAGTGTTGCCCCTAAATTAAAGGATGTGCAGTACACGGGGATTAAAGCAGTAGCAAGGGGTGGTTCCATGCTCATGATGACATGCATGGTTCAGGGTTTCCCTGTCCCTATTTTCAGGTTGGTCCTAATGCCAATTTTTATAAATCCAAATGAGACCTCTGTAGTTTTGAAATACGTGGTTTTTAATAAAAAATTACAGAGCCGCATTCTAAGATGGCCCCTAAATTAAAGGATTCAAAAATCGATGTTGTCAAAACAGCTCAGGGTAGCCAGTTTACCCTGAACTGCATAGCACAAGGTTCGCCCGCTCCGATCTTTAGGTAAAGCATCAGGCAACCTAGTTTCTCATTTTTTAAGTTTTTTTTCCCGATGGTTAGAATTTTAAATAATTTTCAGAGCCTCAAACAAAAATGGCCCCCAAACTAAAAGACTCAAAGATAGAGTTAAAGAGAGAAGTTTTACCAGCCAATGCAACCGTAGCTCTCATGTGCATTGCTCAAGCTTCACCTGTTCCCTTTTTTAGGTAAAAATATTTATAAAAATAAAATATACAAGAACCGACTTTCCGCAGCACTCAGGCAACCTAAAACAATGAGAATTTCCAGCTCATGAATGTTTGACCAATAAAATTATTATATTATATTGAATTATTTAGAGCCTCAATCAAAACTGGGCCCCAAATTGAAGGACACTAAATTTGGTTCGATGAAAGAAGATGTGCTAAATTTTTCCACGGCAGCACTGCAATGCGCAGCCCAAGCTTTTCCACCACCTGTTTTTAGGTAACTGCGTATGGCACAAAAAATTCAGGCAGCCTTTTGCAAATGTTTTTCTCTTAAAATATCAAATTGCTAAGTCTGGTTGGGTACGTTTTTAAATACAGAGCCGACAAATCAAATTCCACCCCGTACGCACGGAAAGAAATATGATGGGGGCGAATTAATGCTTGTAAAAGAAACAGCAGCCGCTTACCTCACTTGCCAAGTCTCAGGATTTCCAGTTCCTCGATATCAGTAAGCCAAATTATCTTCAAATCAGGCAACCTTTTATTTATTATTATTATTATTTGTTTTTTAAATTTAAATTTGAGACAATTTTTTAAATGATACAGAACCAACTGCTAACATTCCTCCTCGTTTCGCCGGACGAAAAATCGACGGCAGTTTGCTTTCGGAAGTGCGAGAAAACTTGACCGTTGTTATCCTTTGCGAAGTCTCAGGGTTCCCTGTTCCAAAATACAGGTTCGGAAATTTTAAATAAATGGTGTCCCAAAACCTTGCAGATCCGCACGGAAATATCGTTCCGCGCGTTTCCAAGGAACGATTCGAGGGCAATGACGTTCAGCTGGGCGAAGAGGCAGTACTTCTTTGCCCAGGGCAAGGGTTTCCCATCCCAAAATTTCGGTAAATTATTATGATTTTTTTTTTTAAATATGCGTTCAATACATTCAGGCAACCAGACATGAAAATCAAATGTAAATTTAAAATCATTTGGGCTCATATATTTGAAAATCAGAGCCAACTGGTCGAACATCCCCCAAGGTGTCGGGAGATGGTTGGAATAAACAGAATAATGACTTGGGTCAAGCGTTGGCTTTGATGTGCGATGCTCAGGCCTTTCCGGCCCCAACAAAGCGGTAAGAGTCTGTTGAAAATTCTTAATTCTGGTCCCACACTGAGCAGCCCGTCGATTTCTTTCAAATTCCTCCACACATAAAAATGAGTGCTGATTTATTTGTACCGTTCCAGATTTGTAAAAGCATGGACGGATGCATATTGATTGATTTCCTCCCAGGCTACCAAGATAAAGTCAAAGTAGCCGGTAAGTCCTGGGGTTATAAATAGTTTTTGTTCTCGTTCATTTGCCCATTTTGCTTACTTTTTTAATATTTTGATAATCGTGCCTCTAGAAAAGCTTTAATTTTATTTTTACCCATCGCTTTTGTGGCTTCTTTTCAGTGTGTCAGGACTCATTATTAAAAAAAAGGTATTTTCAGAACCGTATTGTTTGTCACAAAGGTGAGAAAAACGTTTTTAAATCAAATCGGGGTTATTTCCTCCAACCTTCAGGCAATCTGGCTAATTCACGTTTTTATCTTTTGGTTGAAGAAAAAAATATAATTTTATTGTAGAACCTACAAGTAGCGTCGGTCCAAAAATTTCTGGTGGAAGGTTGCAAGAGCTGAGCGTGAAAGTTGACAAAATTGCGACGGTCCTGTGCCTCAGTCAGGGATTCCCAGTTCCTAGTTTCCGGTAAATAATTGTTAATCAGGCAACTTTCTGGATATATGAATTTCATTTAATTCTAAATATTTGGTAAAAAAATTGCACTGCAGAGCCGACGAGCAGTGTTGCTCCCAAATTGGCCGGGGACAGGCTGCAAGAGCTAAATTCGGCTCAAAAAACAGGGGTCACAATTCTTTGCTCGAGTCAGGGTTTTCCCGTCCCTAGTTTTCGGTGAGTTTGATTATTCAGGGAACCTTCTATTTCTAAACTTTTTCTTGAGACGAAAAAAAAACACGGAATTTTGATCAAATTTAGAACCAAACTCGGCGGTTGCCCCAAAAGTTACGAGCAAAACAGTCGAGTACAAGATTGGGCGAGAAGGTGGCCAGATCGTGGCCCTCTGTCCCGTCCAGGCATATCCGGTGCCCATGTATAGGTAACGTATTATTAGAGCGAGAGACAACACCTCTCGACTTCCTCCATCAATTCATCTTCTCATCACGCTGATCGCCGCCTCATTGATTTGCACACGTGCATCTCTTCCACTGTCTCGCTCTTTAGAGGAATGTCCTCTGATCTCGACCTGACTGCTAATCAGATGGACTTTTAATTTACAAATAGTGACACCATATTAGGCTTAAGCTAGGGCGTAGATTTTTCTAAGGAGTATTGCTTAATTTTGAGATAAGATAATAATAATAATAATAATAACAAATTGAAAATTGCTTCAAATTTTCAGTAATAAATTCAATGTTTAATGTTCAAATTTTGAAATTAATGTTAAATTTTGTAATTAGCTCATAATAAATATTTAAATTTACTCCTTTTGCAATAAAACGTTAGGTATAGGCTCAACTCCTTTTAACTTCATCTCTTAATCCTTAAATTTGCGATTTCCAGGTGGTACAAGTTCATCGAAGGCACTACCAGGAAACTGGCTGTTCCCCTTGACGACCGAGTCAAACAGGTTAGTGGCACCTTGATCATCAAAGAGGCCAAAGTGGAGGATTCCGGCAAGTACCTGTGCGTCGTCAACAATTCTGTCGGTGGAGAGAGTGTCGAGACTGTCCTCACGGTCACTGGTAACAAATATTATTTTCCATTTTTTTATTCGTATATTATAATTTGTACATGAATTTTAGCCCCTTTATCTGCAACTGTCGAACCTGAAACCCAGACTGTTGATTTTGGAAGACCTGCTGTGTTCACCTGCAACTTTGAAGGCAACCCTGTTAAGACCATCGGCTGGCTGAAGGACGGCAAAAATCTCAACCATGAAGATGCGACCCTTAGGATAGACTCTGTGAAGAAGGAGGACAAGGGCATGTACCAGTGCTTTGTGCGCAATGACCAGGAGAGTGCCCAGGCCTGTGCCGAACTCAAACTCGGAGGCAGATGTAAGTCAAATTCTTCGCCATTCATAATGATTAAAAATTTCAACTCATAAATTGACCAAGTATTGTCAAAAATTGGTTCCATTAGAAATAATAAGTTGGTAGAATTATAATTTTTTTTTTAACATATGACATTAAAACTTATTGCTCTTATTTAATTATATGTGTCGTTTTCCTATTTTTTAAATTTAAATTATTCTTCAAACTGTTCTTTTTGTTGTTGTTAAATTTGAATTAATTTTCAAATGTTAATTCATATTTTTTGGCTGCAGTTGAACCACCCCAGTTGAGGCAAACCTTCGCCGAAGAGACTCTTCAGCCCGGCCCTTCTGTCTTCCTGAAGTGCGTGGCCTCCGGCAACCCTACTCCTGAAATCACCTGGGAACTCGATGGCAAGAAGTTGACCAACAACGACCGGCTTCAAGTTGGACAGTATGTGACTGTCAACGGAGACGTCGTTTCTCACCTGAACGTCTCGTCCATCATCACCAACGACGGCGGCCTCTACAAGTGCATTGCTTCTTCCAAGGTTGGCTTCACCGAACACGCCGCCAGGGTCAATGTTTACGGCTTGCCATTCATCAGACCCATGGAGAAGAAGGCCATTGTCGCCGGAGAGAATTTGTTCGTCACTTGCCCAGTTGCCGGCTACCCTATTGAAAACATTGTCTGGGAGCGAGGTGGGAATTTTTTTTTTTATTAACAATTATAAAAGTTTTGCTTTTCTAATAATTATAATAATTACTTAATCTTATTTTTTTTGCTCAGATGGCCGAGTGCTGCCAATCAACAGGAAGCAAAAGGTTTTCCCCAACGGAACTCTGATCATCGAAAACGTAGAGCGCCAGTCTGACCAAGCCACCTACACCTGCGTTGCAAGAAACTCTCAGGGCTACAGTGCAAGAGGAACACTGGAAGTCCAAGTGATGGGTGAGTCACGCAAAGCCACTTCTGTTTCTACAACAAATGAGTGAACATTGAAAATTTTAACATGAACTAAAACAATGTTCCCTCAATTGTGATTTTAATATACTTGCAGATTTAATTAAAATCAGTTAACAATTGTTAAAAATTAAAAGTTATAATATAAATTTTTAAATCAACATCAGGTAACTCGAAAAATTTGCAAGTATTTTATATTTTTTAAGAATTTTCAGCTCAGTAAACAGGAGCAGTTGCTGATGCAGAGATGGAGAACAATTTATTTATTTTTTTCACAGATTTTGTTTAAATTTTGATAAATTTGTGTATCTAGTTTTCAAAAGGTAAGAAATTCGTATCTTCTCTGGTTATGTAATTTTGTCTTTCCTGCTGCTCTTCTATCATGAACGTTTCTATTTTTTCCCACTATTTGACAAAATGTAGATCTATGTATATTGTTTAACTTAAGCATTAGGAGAAAAATTGTCTCGAGAAGCTCAAAATCGCCACCAAAAATAAGTCGCGACCGCCCCAATGTGGCTCCGTGCCGCTCCAAAATCATCAAAACCCCTTAAAAATTGGGCCTTCAAATTTTACTCAAAATTTAATCTCTAATAGGCCGGCACTGCTAATTATTCTGCTACTCTCATCAATTTCTGTGCTGACCAGAATTTTTTGCAACCCTTTCGGCACCTAATGGATGTTGAATGGCCCGCAGTACCGCCCGAAATCCTTCCTTTCTCGTTGGGCGAGCGTCCTCGAAGCGCGGGCCAGTCGTTTAGCGTGCACTGTTCCGTCGTGGAGGGGAGCCCCCCGGTTAGGGTGAGATGGACCCTGAACGACCAGCCCTTGGTCTCGGTCCGCCACGTGAAAGTGATGTCCCTCGGCGACTCGGGCTCGGTGCTTTCGGTCGAGCGGCTCGACTCGGAGCACGCCGGTTTTCTCACCTGCATTGCCGAGAACCACTTCGGATTTGCTGAACACACGTCGTTCTTGAACGTCTCTGGTAAAAACACGTGACACGTACATTCACACACTAAAAACAACCAGCACGAAAAACATAAAATACATAATTTAAACCTTGCATTGTGCTGTTAAAAGAGAGGTTCATACATTTTAAATTTTAGTTTAAATTTAATTAAAATATTAATGACTTTAAAAAATTTTAATTTAAAAATTTTAGGAAGCTTTTCAATTTTTAGTAAAATGAAAACAATTTTACAAAATTATTAAAATCCATGCTAACAGCAATTCTATCTTATTATTTGAACTATTTGAAATGATATCCTCCAGTATTTCTTCGGTTTCTCAATTAGACAAATAATTATTTCCAGCAGCTATAATTCGATGAGATAGTTCATAATGGAATATAATTATTATAATGATGAAAGGAAAGTGAACTATAAATGATCAATTTTAATAATAATGAACCTCAACATTAACAGCCTGACACAAACAGAACAATTAATTACAATTTACAACAGACAAATTCGCCCTCGTGATAATTATCCTGGAGAGACCACCAACCCGAGAATGTAAAGCGATGTTCGCGCTCCGCATTTTACATGTTGACTATGCTTTCGATGTGCTTCTTTTCTGCTCTTCTCCTTCCTTCAGATCCGTCTCATTGGAAATTTCTGATCGGTTTTCTCTCTTTAAAATTAAAATTCCGAAAGTGCCGCCCAGAATCCAGCCGTTTTCGTTCGGCGAGCGCGCTCTCAGCCAGGGCCAGTCGATGACGGTGCCCTGCCAGGTGGTCGAGGGCGACGGCCCCATCAGAATCCATTGGAGGTACCAGGGCCGGCCCGTCAGCCCCGAGACGCGCGTCTCCGTCGTCTCTCTGGGCGAGGACTCGGTCATCCTCAGCATCCGCGCCGTGCAGGCCGACCACGCCGGCGAGTACGCGTGTGTCGCTCAAAACTTGGCCGGCCACCACCAACACGCGGCCACCCTCGCCGTCATCGGTCCGATTTACTTTCATGTTGATCAGAAAAAGAAACATATTCTTTCTATCTGCTTCTCCGTCCTTTCATATGCTCGCTGTAGATTTGCCGTTTGTCCGTCCGTCCTTGGATGCCCCATTGACTAATTCTTTTTCGAAAAAAATTCAATTATCAAAGTTAAACGTATGCAACAGAAACACTCGCTGGTACAACAGGTTGCATAACTCTAAAAAATATGCGTTTTTATCCCATAAATTGGCTTTATACATTTGGAATTTCCTGGGGCATCCTGAATTTTTTAGTGTCTTGAAATGTTCGATTTTTATATTGATATTTTAAGCCCTGAAATTGACTCCCTCACTACATTTTCCCAACCAGCACACCCTTTGATTTTTTTGTAATTTTTGCCATCCTGGAACCCAAAAACACTCAACATATTAGCACAAAAGATTTTTAATTTCGGATTTTGATTTTTTCTGCGCACATATTTTTCCAGTCCTTCCTCAGATCATGCCGTTTTCCTTCGGCGAGGAAACGATTAACGCCGGAGACTTTCTTTCCACGCAGTGCTCGATCATTAAAGGCGACTCGCCGATATCGATCGCCTGGTTTTTTAACAACACCGAAATCCAGTCCACGGATCAAATCACCGTGAGCAAAATCGGCAAACGGGGCAGCGCCCTGACCATCGAGGCCGTGCACGCCGCCCACATGGGCGAGTACACGTGCGTGGCGAAAAACGCGGCCGGCGCCACTAATTTCACCACCTACCTGCACATCAACGGTTAATTTTTTTTTTCAAAAACGAATCCTCTCCCTGCACATTTAGTTTTTGCACCTGAGTTATGGATGCACATCTTTTGCATTTTGCTGTGTTTGCCTCTTTGCAGTTTTGCCCCAGATTGTCCCATTCTCCTTCGGCGAAGAAATTCCCAACGCCGGCGAGTTGGCTTCCCTGCAGTGTTCCGTGATCAAGGGCGACTCGCCCATCACCCTCGATTGGTTTTTCAACGGCACCGAAATCGAGAGCAGCGACGATACCACTATAAACAAAATTGGCAGAAAAATTAGCAGTCTGTCCATCGAGTCTGTGCACGCGAGTCACGTCGGCGAGTACACTTGCGTGGCCAAAAACGCGGCGGGATCCACTAATTCCTCAGCATTCCTCCTCGTCAACGGTTAATTAATCCAAAATAATCATTTTTTTTATTGTTAATTTTTTTCCTTGTTTCCACCTTAAATTTTCTGCTTCCGCTTTTACAAATTTATAATTACAGTTCTGCCTCAAATCATTCCATTTTCGTTCGGGGACGAAATTCCGAACGCTGGTGAATCCGCGTCCCTGCAGTGCTCGGTGATCAAAGGCGACTCGCCGATCTCCATTAATTGGCTCTTCAACGGCACGGAAATCGAGAGCAGTGACGAAATCGTTATTAGCAAAATCAGCAGAAAAGTGAGCGCCCTCACTATCGAGTCGGTTCACGGCTCGCACGTCGGCGATTACACGTGCGTGGCCAAAAACGCGGCAGGAGCCACAAATTTCTCAGCATTCCTCCTCGTCAACGGTTCACATGCACTTTAAAATTTGGGATTTGTTTAATTTAATTTTTCTATCCACCTATTCTTTCGCCCTTTTTTATTTACATATCTCGAGCTTCCGCTTTTCAGTTTTGCCTCAAATCGCGCCCTTCACGTTCGGCGACGAGAATTTGAATGCCGGCGAATTGGCCACGGCCACTTGCTCAATCACAAAAGGCGACTCTCCGATAGCAATTTCCTGGTTTTTTAACAATTCCGAAATCGAGAACGGCGACGAAGTGGTCATCAGCAAGATTAGCAAGAAAGTCAGCGCCCTGACCATTGAATCGGCCCGAGCGAATCACATGGGCGAATACACGTGCGTGGCCAAGAACGCGGCCGGCGCCTCAAACTTCTCCACTTTCCTACAAGTGAACGGTTAATGGACCAGAAATCAATTTGTTTGATTTTTTGCAGATTTATTTTTCCACTCCAATGATTTCCTTTTGTTAGGACCGTCGCTTCCGCTTCATTTTATTAAATCGCTTTTTACATAGCTTTTGTTAAAAATGTAAAACTGCTGTTCTAGTTTTGCCTCAAATCGCCCCTTTCACGTTCGGTGATGAAACTCTGAACGCCGGAGAATTGGCGTCTGCGACTTGCTCAATCACAAAGGGCGACTCTCCAATAACAATCGCCTGGTTTTTCAATAACACCGAGGTAGAGAGCAGTGATGAAATGATAGTTAGCAAAATAGGCCGGAAAATCAGCACTTTGTCCATTGAATCGGTTCACGCCAGTCACATGGGCGAATACACGTGCGTTGCGAAAAACGCTGCTGGAGCCACAAATTTTACAACATTTCTCCACGTCAACGGTTTGATTTTTAAAATCTTGTGGTTAATAATTAACAATAATTTTTAATCAAATAATTCTCTATCCCTATAATTCCTACCGAGACCAATTCATTAATTTCCGCTTTCTGTAAAATAATTTATTTAAAAATTAATTGTTCCAGTCTTGCCTCAAATTATTCCATTTTCGGCCGGTGAAGATTCGATCAATGCTGGGGAAGTTGTGTCTTTTCAGTGCACAGTTCTCAAGGGCGACTCGCCCATCTCCGTTAATTGGCTCTTCAACGGAACTGAAATTGAAAGCAACGAGGAAATTGTAATTAGCAAAGGCAGTAGAAAAGTTAGCTCGTTGATAATCGAGTCTGCGAAAGCTTCTCACATGGGCTCGTACACTTGCGTGGCGAAAAATGCTGCCGGATCCAATAACTACACGACGCACTTGCAGATCAACGGTCATTTTTCTTAATTCTTCTTAATTGTGCTTTAATTCTAATTTATTTATTTTCCTCCTTCCGTTTGTTCCCAATTTAGTAAAGAAAAGGAATAACTATGCTTCCGTCATTAAAATCAAATTTAGATTTTTTTAAACTAAGATTTTAATATTTTCGCAGTTTTGCCCCAAATCATGCCATTCTCCTTTGGCGAAGACTCGATAAACGCCGGTGACGTGGTCTCAGTGCAGTGCACGGTGGCCAAAGGAGACTCACCGATGACAATATCTTGGTTTTTCAATAACACGGAAATAGAGACTAGTGACGACATAATCATAAGCAAGAATAGCAAAAAAGTTAGTGCTCTCACAATCGAATCTGCAAGAGCTGATCACGTGGGAAAGTACACGTGCGTGGCAAAAAATGCGGCCGGTGCCTCGAATTTCACAACTAATTTACGAGTGAACGGTTTGGAAACCTTCCAGTTAATTTGGAATGCTAATTCTGATTTTTCTCTTTAATTTTTTTATTACCTTTGACCTTAATTTTACCTGAAAATAGGGCTTTGGTGCTGAGGAATTAAAACAATTTTATCAATCACGAATTAAATCCCGCTCAACAATGTTTCAGTTTTGCCTCAGATAGTTCCTTTTTCCGCCGGCGAAGAAGCGATCAACGCTGGAGAAGTCGTTTCTCTCCAGTGCACAATTCTCAAAGGGGATTCTCCAATTTCCACTTCCTGGCTTTTTAATGGAACAGAGATTGAAAGTAGTGACGAAATCGTAATTAGCAAAATAGGAAAGAAAATCAGCACACTGTCGATCGAGTCTGCGAGAGCAGATCACGTGGGCGAATACACGTGCGTGGCAAAAAATGCTGCAGGCGCCTCAAATTTCACAACATATTTACAAGTGAACGGTTCGGATATTAATAAAAAATAATTTTGAATGCTAATTGTTTGTAAATTAACGTTATTTATCAATCTTCATTTGTCTTCCTTCCACCTTCATTTACCTAAACAGCAAAACTCGCTTTCGAATTGAGATTATTTTTATTTCATAACCGATAATTAAGTTTCCAAATAAATCAATGTTTCAGTTTTGCCCCAGCTAGTTCCGTTTTCAGCCGGTGAAGATCCGATCAATGCTGGAGAAGTTATCTCTCTAACATGCACCGTTCTCAAAGGAGATTCTCCCATATCAATTTCTTGGTTTTTTAATGGAACAGAGATTGAAAGTAGGGACGAAATCACTATTAGCAAAGTTGGAAAGAAAATAAGCATGCTTTCCATTGAGTCGGCGAGAGCAGATCACGTCGGCGAATACACATGCGTGGCCAAAAATGCTGCCGGGGCAACGAATTTCACTACCCAACTTTTGATTAATGGTTTGATTTCGCGCTAATTTAAAAGTTTTTTACTCATCTTATTAATCCTTTCATGCCAAACCTTTCTTCCATTTTTAATTTTTAACAAGCTTCCGACGAGTATGAATATAAGAATCTGATTATTTTTTATGAATTGTTAATTATATTAGATATAATTATATAATTTTTGGAAATAACTTTATTTCTAGTTTTGCCCCAAATCATGCCATTTTCCTTTGGGGAGGAATCGATCAACGCTGGGGACGTCGTCTCTGTTCAGTGCACTGTTGCAAAAGGCGACTCACCGATTACCATTTCTTGGTTTTTTAACGACACTGAGATCGAGAACAGCGACGAAGTGGTCATTAGCAAAATAGGCAGAAAAATTAGCAGTCTGTCAATTGAGTCTGCAAGGGCAGTGCACATGGGCGAATATACTTGCGTGGCCAAAAACGCAGCTGGTGCTTCAAATTTCTCAACCACGCTTCACATCAACGGTTTGAATTCTACAAAATATCCGCATTTATTTCTACTTCTTTCATTTTAACCAATCCAACCAACCTGACCCTTGTTTAAAATATTTGAATAAAATTTTTTCGCGTTAGTTTTGCCGCAGATAATTCCGTTTTCCGCTGGCGAAGACCCGATTAATGCAGGCGACGGTATTTCCCTTCAGTGCTCAGTCACTAAAGGCGATTCGCCGATTTCCATCTCGTGGCTCTTTAACAACACCGAAGTAGAAAGTAGCGACGACATTGTCATTAGCAAAGTTAGCAAAAAGGTCAGCACTCTGATCATCGAGTCTGCCCGAGCTAAGCACGTCGGGGCGTACACGTGTCTGGCGAAAAACGCAGCAGGAGCGAGCAATTTCACCTCTTATTTGCAAATCAACGGTTTGAATTTTTCCATAAAAATGTTCATTTTTGCATCCTTATTAGTCAGACTTAATTTCTTATTTTAAATTTAGTTCTTCCTCAAATCGTTCCGTTCTCCTTCGGCGACGAGTCGACCAACGCCGGCGACTTGGTGTCGGTTCAGTGCACGGTGACCAAAGGAGACTCGCCCATCTCCATTTCCTGGCTATTCAACGCCTCCGAAATAGAGTCGAGCGACGAAATCGTGATTAGCAAAAACAGCAGAAAAATTAGCGCTTTGACCATCGAATCCGTGCGAGCTTCTCACATGGGCGAATACACTTGCATTGCGAAAAACGCGGCCGGATCCTCAAATTTCACAACTCATTTGCACATCAATGGTTTAAACATTATTTTTTTTCTTGTTGTTTACTCTTAATTTTTTAGATAAATTACTTCCTTGTCCGCCGTGCCCAAAAATTTCTTGCTTCCGCAAAAAAAAACTTTTTATGAATTTTTAAAAATTTTCAGTTTTGCCCCAAATCGTCCCGTTTTCGTTTGGCGATGAAACGACTAATGCAGGCGACCTAGCCTCCGCGACGTGTTCCGTCGTCAAGGGTGACACCCCAATCACCATTAACTGGTTCTTTAATGGAACCGAACTCTCTGCCAGCGACGAAATCACGATTAGCAAAGTTGGAAAGAAAATTAGCATGCTCTCCATCGAGTCTGCGAGAGCCGATCACGTAGGCGAATACACGTGCGTAGCAAAAAACGAAGCTGGAGCCTCCAACATCAGCACCTATTTATACATTAACGGTTTGATTCATTTCAAAATTTCAGCTTTTTTTATTTCTTTGTTTTGTTCTTTCCCAATGTGACAGGATTGTTTTCTGTTTTTTTTTTTTAATAACTTCTTTAATCCGTTTCTTCTCGCTTGATAATTTCAGTTTTACCTCAAATCGTGCCCTTTTCCGCTGGCGATGACCCTATCAACGCCGGAGATTCTGTCTCTCTAACTTGTAACATAGTCAAAGGGGACTCGCCGATGACAATCTCTTGGCTATTTAATAACACTGAAATCGAAAGCAATGACGATATAACCATAAGCAAAATTAGTAAAAAAGTCAGTGCCCTGACAATCGAGTCGGCCAGAGCGGAATTCATGGGCGCGTACACTTGTGTGGCCAAAAACGCAGCCGGGGCTTCAAATTTTACTACAAACTTGCACGTTAATGGTAGGGATTTTTCACACAAAAATTTCTTTTTAATTAATTTTTTATAATTTATAACTAACGCTAATTTTCCTCACATCTACCAAGCCAAACCAAAAAGTAATTTGTAAGCTTCCGCTAATTTTTTTAAGTTTGCTATTAAAATGATTTAATTAAAAAAATTTCAGTACTCCCCTTCATCACTCCGTTTGAGTTTCCCACCGTTCCGAGTGCAGCCGGCGACTCGGTTCAAATCACGTGCCACGTCACAAAGGGCGATCTACCTTTGCGAATCGAGTGGTACTTTGACGGCAGGCCACTGGCTCCGCACATGGGGGTCACGACCAATAACATAGGCAGCAGGGCCAATTTTCTCATGATACCTGAAGTTCAGCCACACAATAGGGGCCGCTACATTTGCGTAGTGATGAACTCGGCAGGTTCCGCAGAGTTTGCTGCAGACCTTCGCGTAAACGGTTGGCTTTGAAAATTACTACTTATTGCTTGAGACTTTTAATTATAATTTTATCTCCCCCCAAACTCCACAATCAGGCCGGAAAAATGAAATTAATCAAGGTGGTGAATAATAAATAAAATATAATTAAAATTCCAGTTTTTCCGTACATCACACCTTTCGACTTTGAGGGCCCCGTGAGCTCAGGTGACACTGTCCAATTAGCGTGTCTCGTTACCAAAGGCGATCCACCCCTGATCATTAAGTGGTTTTTCAACGGCGAGCCACTCACACCCCACTTAGGCGCCGTAACCGGAATGTTTGGACAAAAAACCAGCATTCTCTCGATCAACGCGGTAAAGCAATTGAACATCGGCCGGTACACTTGTCTCGCTTCCAATCAGGCAGGCACAGCGTCCTTCAGCGCCGACCTTCACGTCAATGGTTATTTTTATGAAATCTGCACGCTTCAAAATATTTGCAAATTTTGATTTGTTTCGTAGAAATGTTTTACACCTTTGATTAAAATTTCATTTCACTGTCCTTTTACCATGATAAATCAGTACGACCTCAAATTCTGGCGTTCGATTTCGGCGAGGACTCGGTGAACGCGGGCGATTTCTCGACGGTGCAGTGCGCCGTCATCAAAGGCGACTCGCCGGTTGCCATTTCCTGGTACTTCAACCGCAGCCGCGAGGTGGAAAAAATATCCGGAATCAACGTCATCAAGTCCGGGGCACGCTCGCAGGTGCTCAACATTGAGAACGTGCAGGCGGGTCACTCGGGGCCCTACACCTGCGTGGCCACCAACGCGGCCGGGTCAACGAACCACACTGCCATTTTGACCGTCAACGGTGACTTTTAGCAAAGAATTTAATTTGCATCTAGGAGATTTATTTTTTCAATTATTTGTGTGCTTAGTTTTTTTTTAGAAAGACTCTGTTTTTCTGTTTTGACCCAGTTCTTCCCCAAATCATGCCGTTCGGTTTCGGTGACGAAAACGTCTTTGCCGGCGACTCAACCGTGGTGACCTGCGCGGTCATCAAAGGCGACTCGCCGATTTCGATTTCCTGGCTTTTCAACGGGACGGATGTCCAAGGGAAGGAGGGCGTGACCGTTTTCAAAGCAGGTGCCAGGGCCAGTTCCCTGAGCATCGACTCCGTCAGGGCAGAGCACTCGGGTGGATACTCTTGCGTCGCTAGAAATGCCGCCGGAAACAATAATTTCACTGCGTACTTACACGTCAACGGTACTTTAAAAATAAGCTTTTTAATTTTGTGTTTTTTCTTCTTATTCTGTCCGGTCAGTTTGCATTTTTCTCTCCTCAAACTCCAATCCTTTCCCTAAAAATTTTAAATAATATATCTGCAGGTAGAAGATTAAATGATTTTAATATATTCTAAAATTAAAAAATAAGTTATTTAAAAATTTGGATTTCTTAATTCTAAATTTTCAGTCATGCCTTATATCAAGCCGTTTGAGTTCGAGGGACCCGCAAGCGCAGGCGAATCTGTTCAACTTTCGTGTCACGTCACTAAGGGTGACCCGCCCTTCACGATCGAGTGGTTCTTCGACGGAGAACCGATTTCCCCTCACTTAGGAGTGCTGACTGGCATGTTCGGCCACCGCTCCAACATTCTCTCCATTTCGCAAGTGCGACCCATGAACAGGGGTCGCTATACCTGTTCCGTTTCCAACCCCGCCGGTCGCGCCATTTACGCCGCCGATTTGCTCGTCAACGGTATTTTTTTTTAATTCGCACTCGGAGCTTCTTCTTGCACTAAAACTATATATCTTTCTCAATGGCACCCTCCTTATGTAGATTTTTTTCGTACGTACATTAAGTTGGTCCCATCCTGTGTCCTCTTGTCGAATTGCAGTGGTGCCCCAGCTGTCTCCGTTTTCCTTTAGCGAGGAGGCGGTCAACGCGGGGGACATGACCGCCGTGCAGTGCACCGTGGTCAAGGGCGACTCACCCATTCACATTGTTTGGCTGTTTAACGGCACCGAAATCAGCTCGGGGGACGGGGTGACGGTGATGAACGCGGGCACGAGGCTCAGCTCGTTGAGCATCGAGGCGGTCCGAGCGCACAATTCCGGACAGTACACTTGCCTAGCTCGAAATGCAGCAGGAGCGTCCAATTACTCGGCTTATTTGCATGTCAACGGTACTTTTTTAAACACAAATCCGCTTAATCGTATTGATTTAATCATTAATTTATTATAATTTTTAGTCAATCCTTAATCCATTCCTTTAAATTATAGAAAACATTATATTTTATAAATAGATTTTTATTAAATTTTTTTTCATTATTCCAGAAGACATTTCAAAACTATAAAAATGACAAAAATTTTACCCCAATTCTTTCATGCACATTCGCTTTTATTGATTAAAGGTCATATTTTAAGTAGCTTTACAAAATTAATGCTCAATATTCAGTAAATAAAATATAAATTTGTGGTGATTTTTTCCAGCATACCAAAGATATTTTTTATATA